GCCAATTCTAGTTTAGTTCTACTTTTACTTTTACTTTGGTTATGTTTCTTGCATTCACCCATCTGCCCAACTTCCAACCCACCACCATCGCACACTATTCATTGTTATAAAGTTGCATGCTGAAAGTGAAGATCGGTGTTTCCTTCCTCACGCCATTAGAACCCAAAATCATTTCTTTTCTGCATCACCACCATTTTAATATAATACAATATATTAATATAAATTATTCCATTAATAATTTCTATTTAATATTTCAAACAAAATATTTATAAAAAATAATTAACAAAAAATAAAAATAAAGAATAAATTAATTACTTTATAATATAAAACATAAAATATTTTTCAAGTAATAAAATATTAACTAGTTGATATTTTTAAAATATTTATTAAAATCAGAAAATGTTTATTAAATTTTACAATAAATCATATTCTAAATTTAATATAAAAAATGAAAATAAATTTATTAAAATTTATACTAAATCATAATTTATTATAAATTTAGTATTAAAAATCATAATAAATTCATTAAGTTTTATAAGAAATCAGAATTTAGAAATATGTATTAATGCTTCTTTTATCATTTTACAAAATATTATTGCATATTTCCACAATGTCTCTAATTGTTATAATATTTTCCCTCGACATTTCTGACATTTCCAACATATGTCCTATATTTTGGTAAGCGACATTTCCATCGACATCGACACTTTAAACCTTGAGTGAAAGGCTTTGCCACAAAGTTGTAGCAAGTATTCATGGGCTGTCAAGTAAAGGATGGGATGCTGGTTGTCTTCACAGAGCTACCTTGGCTACCCCTTGGAAAGCCATCCACAACTGTCTTCCTATCTTCCTTAGTTGCATCAACTTTGGCTACCCGTTTTTTAGTTCATTTGCTCCCCTCTGTCTCCTTCTATATTGAACTGGAATTTGGGCCTCACCAGGAATCATGGTGAGTCTAAAATCCCTTTTGTGTCTACTTTGCTTACCTTGTTGTGTTCGGTGGTTCTTGGGGAGGGGGATGTAGACCCTCATTTCATTGGGACCTTTTTTTTATGATTGCATTTCGTTGGGACCTTCACTTGTAAGTCTTTGTTTTAACTCCCTTGTAACCTCCTCACCTTCCCTTTCTCCTACTTTCCCTGTTAAGGGAATTTGGTGCTCTCCCATTCCTCCTAGATTCAGTGCTTTTTGCTGGGAAGTGTATCATGGTTGCATTAATTCTTGTGATAAGCTTCAAAGAAAGAGGCCAAACCAGTGCTTGTCTCCCAAGGTGCAGCTTATGGAAGCTTAACGGTGAGAGTCATAAGACTACAATTCATCTCCTAATCTCTTTTCCCTTTGTTGGCTTTATCTAGGATTAATTTGCTTCCCTCTTGGGTTGCAGTTGGCTTCCTCATGTTAGCTTGGGAGGGTTGTTAGCCCTTTTGTTTGTAGTTGTTCTATTAGGAGGGTCAAATTGATGTGGAAATGTACAAGGGCAGCAATGGTTTGGACAGTTTGGGAGGAAAGACAAATTGCAGCAGTGGACCAGTCACCCCCGCCTTGTGTCTGGTTGAAACTAAATTTTGAAGGGAGTTTTGTGGGTAATCCAGACCCTCTAGAATTGGAGGAGCAATCAGGGATGAGGAAGGTAATATTTGTTCCTTCTTCTCAGTTTCAGCTGAGCAAAATGATGTGGCAATAGAAGAATTTTTGGCAGGTGTTTTTGGTCTTGAGAAAGCCAAGGAGTAGGCATTTGAAAAGATCTTAGGCATGGTTTTAAAACCCCCGTTGACCTAGATGGTTGGACCATTCGGTCCGGAAACCGGTCATGGTACCAGCTCCATTTTAGTGATGAACCACTATTTTACTAAAAATTGTTGAATTGGTCAATGAACCGTTGACCCAGATGATCTGACCGCTGAACCGTTTGACCCAGACAATGGTTTGTGGTCTAATATACCTTATTTGAAATTTTCAAAGAAATAAAATAACAAAACAAAGACAAAAAATAGAGGGAAAGGATATCAATCTCAGATCTGAGAGAGAGAGAGAGAGAAAGAGAGAGAGAGAGATCCAAGGGATATATGAGAGAGAGACCTCAGAGATCTGAGAGAGAGATCCGTCATCACTGCCACCGTCACCATCAGTGCTACAGGTCACCCACACCTCTGCCCTTTCTTCCATCATCTTTCTTTCTCTCAACCTTCTTTTTATTTCCTTCTTTCAGCCAACAGAGCCCTCTCCTCACTCTCATTCTCATCCCCCTTCTCATAATATTTCAATGGGTTAGAAGATCTGCCAACTGTTTGGTGGATGGTCTAGCTAAGCATGGAGTACAAAGACAGACTACCCTTTAATTTGCTTAATGAATTCATTTTCTGAGTTACCGATCACAAAACATCAATATAAGTATTTCCTTAATGCTTAAATAAAAAATGAACCATTTCAAAAGTAGGTGAATCCATGCTTACCAGAAGAAGCATGACATTACTCGAAAGTAGGTGAATAATGCTCTTATACAGATAACAGGATAGAAAAGCAGAATGAAAACATGGCCATTAAAAGCAGGTAAAAGAGGCCTAATGGATGAATGAACATTTGATCCCATGACTTTAGCAGTTCACATGGCAATGACTGCACATAAGATCAAACGACACATCGTTTGAAATTGCAATAAATCCCATCAAATGAAACAATGAGACAATTGAAGTTTAAATATCCGGAATATATTACTAAAATATCAATTTGATATGATACCCGATACAGTCCAAGGCGAAATGTTCACCAAAATCAAGGAACCATCATCCAAAAAACTAAACCTAACTTCCTTCTCATCCTCTTGAAAGAAAATAATAACAGAAAATGTTATAACAATTGAATCTAAAATGGTTTAGAACAGGCATCCAAAGTGATGAACCTACTCAATCGTTCAACTGTTCAAGTTCGGCCTTCAATTGCTCAATCTTTAGCCCCATCGACCTCTGCAATGCCCCTTTCTCTCTCTCTGGCAACTTCGCCATTAGAGCCTCGAACATGTCCAAAACAACCTTCACCGCTTCCCTAGCACTGTCGGCCTCTTCGTCGAAATAAACCGTCTCCTTTGAATCCAAAGCCATCTCAATCTCCTCCCGAGCTTCTGCGAACTTGAGATTAATTTCATCCATCTCTTTGCTGTAATCAAAGCTAGGGGCAGATTCGCCACTGAATCTCCTCAGATGTTTATGGTTTCTGAACTGCATCAACGGAATTGAATCAAGTGGGTGTGGAAAAGAGCGAAATCTCGAGGTGGGTAAACTGAAAATACTCGTTTTGTGGAATAAAATCATGTCCACAAAGCATCCATTTGAGACTTCCATAGATGGATTCGTGAGAAACAAAGATATGGGTCGTGAAGATTGTCGAAAAGGGTAATTCGACAACGATTTACAAAGAGAGATTAGTGAACGCCGCTGCATTACTCGTTATTTTACTAGTATGAGTAGTATCCACTATTATTTCCTCTTGCCTTCCAAGAACGACAGAGAACAAAGAACAACGGGAAGCAAAAGAGACGGGGATAGGGGTGATCATGGGCCGGGCCGGGCCGGGCTTTGCAATTATGATAAGGGCTATAGATTAGGCCCGGGCCCGGCCCGGCCCGAGGTTCCGGGCCTGAAACATAAGCCCTAGTCCAGGTTTATACGGGTCTGGGCCGTGCCAGACCTGATTTTGGGCCAATGTTATTCATATATAAAATATTATATATCTATATATTAAATCACATAACATTTATATAAACTTGTTTTATACATTATATAATATAAAATATTACATATAATATAAATTATATATGTCATGTTATAATATTTATGTATAAAATATATAATACAATGTAAAATAACATGTATATATATATATATAATACACAAAATATATAAAGTTTATATATAGACTGGGCCAAGGCTGAGCCAAACTTGAAGTATTCAGCCCAAGCTTGGCCCTAAAATTTTTGGGCCAAATATGGGCCCGGGCCCGGGCCAGGCTGAAATGATCACCCCAAGCCGGGAGGCTACCCCTTATTCAAAGGGTTAAGTAACACACGAGGTATATCAAGACCAAACTAACCTCAACGATGATCTAGATCAGCCATTTGGGATAAAGTAGTCAACAGGTCGCACATTAATGATTATCCAAACCAACGTTAACGATAATCTAGACCATCCATTCGTGATCAAGCAGTCAATGGGCCCAACCCAATGATAATCGAAATTTTCCTTGCAACATTCTCGTAAAACAACATGCATCACATCTATATATATATATATATATATATATATATATATTAAAATAAGGGTTTTAGATTACAACTCCCACTATGCAAATACGTGACTTTTTCAAATTTAGATACATGGCATTTTTTAAGAAATTACTGTTAAAGTTCACTATCACTATTTAAACAAGTGGTCTTTTCATTTTCTAGAAAACTAAACGGGTGATAATTTCTGAGAAATTCTTATTAAAGCCCTAAACACATAGCCTTTTCATTTTTTTAGAAAGCTAAACACAGCATTTTTTAAGAAATTACTGTTAAAGCCCACAACTCACATCACCATTTTCAACCTATTCCTAAAAAAATGCAAAAATTATTATCCACAACCATTTGCGTATCATAACACCATATTTTAATAATTATCGAAAAGTTTGAAATAAATATTTCTTAAAATTTTAATAATTATTTAAAATATTAATCCGTAATGTAAATCATTATGCTTCAATTGCAAATCCACTCATCCACAACGATGGGTAAGATCATTTTTAACACGTCCACAACGATGGGTAATTATATGATCTAAAAGAAAAACTGCGTTTCCTCGTTACATAAATCAATCACAATTCACAATGTTTTTGTATTGTCTTAAAGCAGTGGAAACATACATACAGAATAGAATGGCCTCGGAGAAACTCAAGTTAGATGGAACAAAACCCAGAGATTTTTTGTCAGAAATCTGAACAATTACATCCATTGGACACACCTCTTGGAATAGCCAAGACAAAATATGTTCCAATCAAACAGTCTTCATAACCCAACAAATGGACTAGTCCCCAACTACTAGCAAGATTAATATCTAACCCACCATGTTTTGACTCCACACTAAAATAATCCTTCAATTGGTAATATTGGCTACATCATAAAGAAAGAGAGTCAAACCACCATCAAGTTACTAGGGTTCAACATAAATCAACGAAGTAAGCGGACCTTCATGCGACCAAATACTGATGCTTGGTGAATACAAAAAACCGAAAACGGGGGAAAACAGAAAAAAAGAATAAAGATAAGCTCCACTGTCGCACTAGCTATAGGGTCATTTTTTCTCTCAAATCGGGGTGTTGGGCCATCAGCCTTCAGCATCTATTGTACGAAGTGTAGAACATAGACTGTTACCAAACAAAATTTTGATTGTCTTGTCCTTTTTGACAACATATAAAGAGAACAATCCATTTCCTCTTTAAAGCCATATTGGGTTAATACAAATTTCTTATTTGCTGAAACTTACCAACCCCAAGTCAACTCTGCAGACAAACTGACAAGTGCATTTTACTTTCTGTATGAACATTCAGCCCCAAACTCCTCCTCCAACCTCTCCCGAGGTTCTGTTTTTGCAGCCAATACAACGTCATCAAGGAATCCTCTCTGGGGGAATTCCTGTGGTACAAGGCTCCGATATGTCTCAAACTGCTCATCAGCCTCTTTCTTTTTACCCAATAGGCTGTAGATTATCCCCTGTACAGATACCCACAATTGGTAAACGAAAGGAAGGCAGTAAAGCATCATAGTTCCAATAAAACACCAAGCATGCAAGCCACAAAACTCAACCAGAAATGAAACATGTGTACAACTAAACCATGCAAGAGGAATGGCAGCAGTTTGACATATTATAGACTTGTAGCAAGAATTGACCTCGCAGAGATAAGGCCGAAAATCACGAGGGTTATCATTAACCAAGTCTTGGAACCTTTTCAAGGCCTCCTCCAAATCACCCTGATCACCATACAAGTAAAGGACCAAAGTCAATGTATAGTACAAATTAGATACATCTTATGATTTATGTTGGTTTCAATAATACTGGTCCAACAGATATGAGTAACATTTAAGAGTCTGGCTTGAATCATTAAGATCAAAGTCACCACCTTTACAACATGCATTTGTGCAATTAAAATTCTTATATTTCGCTCCTCTGTAACTCTTTTCCCGCGCTGAGAAAGTAACAAAGCCTTATCCAGCATCTCAAAGACAGCTGACCCTTCATGGTTTTTGTGCATTACCATCGCCAGACCCTATAGAAGAGAAGAGTTGTAATTTTTGTAGTTTGTCCAGAAATGAGGCAATTAGTTTAAATGGTACCACATAAAAAGCAATACAAACAATGAAATCAACTTTATAATTGTTGATAACATAGTTAACCGGACTAGATCTGTGCTACATAATGACATAGATCTCCCTCTTCTAGTTGGAAAATATTTTGTAAAATATATACACTTGAACGAAATTATTCAGTTCCAGGAAGAAAATGTTAGGGTTGACTAGTGGTTCCATGGAATTAATTAATTCATAATCTGATAATTCTCCAACATCCCAAGTCTTAGAACCTGGATTTGTCATGGAATAGAATCACCAACTTTCCAGCTTCCTAAAGATATCCCAAGTACTTTTATAGCATGTACCCACCAAAGATGGGTTAGCCATTCAATTTTGTTGCAGACGTGCAGATTGAAGCCCGTTGACTTCCTTTTCCCTTTCCTCTGGACCATACTTGTATATCAATTACAGAAAGGGAAATTCTAGAAACCACTTCTTGCATGAAGAGATGACACAAAGTAAGAAAAGGAAAAAAAAAGTAAATATATAGATTTAACTATTCTCAAGAGTTTGTTTCATATTTTAAATTCTGAATAACTTTCTCCAAGTAAATTAAGCAAATTCTAGCTCTATTGGACTCTAAAAATCTCAGGTCCCAGGTTTTATTATGTTTAGATAGTTTCTGTTTCAGGTAAGCCCCATTTTAGCTGGTTTGTCTCACATCAAACTTACTGACATGACTCAATTTTGGCATCTACCGTCATATAAAGGGTAACTACACAAAGAAACAATCCCTTTAAGTAATAAACTCTACAAATTCATAATAGTGGATATCAGGTTCTAACCTTTTATTTTATTGTTTGATAAATAGCAAGAATTGTATTAGAAGAATTAATAAACTAACAGCCTTATCTTTCTAATAGATATCATGCAACTTTTCTGAGAATGTGTAATATCTCAAATTTATAACATGAAAATAATCATCAAGAAATCTAACATAATCAAAGGCCAACCTTCAAACCTACCAAAATTAGAACCCAAACATAAGATCTTCAAAGTCAGGTAGATAATACAGTGAACTATAATTACTAGAATAGAAAACACCATTACCCAATGTTGGTCCCAGCTATCTGGGGTCTTGGGAGGGTAGACTGGATATAATCCTAACCTTTGCACCTTTTTGCACAAAGTGACCACTCTCAAACACAAGCCCATATTCTCACGGTTGCCAGCCTGAGATTTTACCTAAATATAATTACTAGAATAATGGAACAAACGCCTGAGGTTTTACCTAACTATAATTACTAGAATAATGGAACAAACAAAGGACAGTTTTTCCAGTTGAAATCAATATCATAAAGATTTCAGGAAAAATATAACCAAGTAAAAATAGATTAATCCATATGAGAAAATTAATTAGAAGTTGATAATTTTTTGGATTTCAAAGATATCTATTTTATAGAACATATTGCAGATGTTTTTGGTTGCAGGCATGGTCTAGTCCTAGTTGACATTCTGGGTGGTTTCTAGTTGCAAATAGGAATGGCAATTTTCTCCATTTCCCCAATTCCTGTGGGGGCCCACCTCAAATGGGGTGGGGCAGGGATGATTTTTCCCCCTGTGGGGATGGAGATGGGGAAATTTTCATCTGTATGTATGTATTAATATTTTTAAAAATATGTTTGAATATATTTGGATCATGTTTAATAGGATTGTAAATTTTAACTATTTCATTTTTAAATGAAATTAAAAACAAATGAAATGATTGATATCATAAAATAATCATGGGAGTGGGGATCCCCATGGGGATGGGGATAACCTTGTCCCCTCAAGCGGGGATGGGGATAGGGATTTTCACAGGACCAGGGATGGGGAGTGGATCCCCGTCCCCGCCCTGTCCTGTTGCCATTCCTAGTTGCAAACTTGCAGGCATATCCAGAATTATAACTGCTAACCATCTTTCATGAAGAATTATAACTGCTAAGTCATGTCCCAACTATATGGGGTGGGTTACATGAATCCCGTTCCCCTGACCCATTCTGTTCAGTGTCATATAGCTTGTTAAACTATCGACCCTTGAAACATTTCTCACTACTTCAACCTTTGTGGTCTACCCCTAGCCCTTCTAGTTCCTTCAATTTGTAGCAGATCACTTTTTCTTACTGGTGCTGTAGATGGTCTTCTCTGCAAATGACCAAGCCATCTTAATCTACTTTCTATCATTTTACCACAAAAGATAAGATGCATTTTCTTTTTATCTAGCTTAAATCCTTATCTACTAAAGAAAAGACTTCAATTTGTAACAGATCACTTTTTCTTACTGGTGCCATAGATGACCTTCTCTGTGTAAATGACCAAGCCACCTGAATCTACTTTCTGTCATTTTATCTCAAAAGTTAAGATGCATTTTCTTTTTATCTAGTTTAAAGCCTTATCTACTAAAGAAAACACCTCAACTCAATAAAATGATGTTCCCATCATCTTGGATTGCTATATGGATCCTATTCTACTAGTCTATCTAATATAGAGCCATACCTCATGCTAAACCACTAAGAGAAGTCTTATTTTTCTCCACTACTTCAACCTATATCCTTTTTCAATTTTCCCTTTTCGAGATGGGATAAGAAACTAGGGAAAAAACATGTTTTCAGGCTGCAGTTATGCAAAGACCAAAAACTTAGATAAATAAGAACATAGAAAACTTAAACTAGGGAAACTAATTTATAGAGCAGATTCCAGGGGCTTAATCAGAGGTTGGAGAGTTAGGAGGGTGCATGTGCCACTCACACATTCGGCCATCCATATGATGGATCTCTCATCCCCTTCAGTATCATGTTAGGGTCCCCTGCTTCACAAAAGAGTATGGTGTCATCTGCAAATTGCAAATCTGAAACCAAAAGGTAGGAGAGGGAGATACCTGATACGAAGAAATAGTATCCTCCAATGAAGGTGTTCACGCCCAAAGAAATCTCCAAAGACTGCACCCACTGAAAATGACACAGTGTAGGGTGGAGCAGAATCAGCAATGTTCTTCCCAAGAACCGAATTCTTCAGCAAGAATTCGATGGAGGCTGTGAACACGACTTCAGATCAGCCTTTCTCCAAAAACTGATATCAAGAACTATTCTTGATCGCTCCTACAAGAATGGAGATCGAACTGGCAATTGGCGGCAACTGGAGGAGAACACAGGGAGAAGATGGCGCAATCACACTGTTGTTGTCCTCTCTCTATGTGATCTAAGATCTGATGATGAGATGAACTGAATGGTTCGCCCCCTCCTCCTTTTATAGACTTAAAGAGATCAGCTCCTAATCCTATTAGGAGTTTCCTGATTCAAATCCTTATTTGAATCTGGACTCTCTTTAAGTGATAAGGATAGATCCTTATCTTATCTGTAGATTAGATCAGCTCTCCTAATCTCATTAGGAGGTTTCCAGATCCAAATTTAAATCTGGACTCTCTGAGTGGATAGGAATAACTTCCTATCCTATCTCCTGATCCAATCCCAGATCCGCCCCTCTCTTTAACTAATCAAATTAGACCAGTTCGAAATGGGCTTTAGGCCCAATAAGTCTATGTGCTCAGCAACCCTCCAAGCTGCTGCCCAGTTGGGCTTCTTTGTATGGCGTGGGACCCAAACATTGATCTACACATCAGCTACATGGGTTCAACCTAGCATCTGTTACAAGGCCTGGCCGAATTCACTGTTATGGGCAGTGAACCCCTAAACCCATCACCATGGGCTCTTAATGGGCCTAACACTTACACTAAGTGGTCCCTGGGCCAAGCCACCTTATAAAAACCCAGGGACTATGGGCAGATGCAAGATTAACCCACAGGTATTACCCTCAATGGTCTTACACTTAACCTCTCAGCCCATAATGATCAAACACAGCCCGACAAGAGAGGACCTCTCCCTCGGCTACAAGGAATAGTGTTGCATTCTCTACTCACATGGATCTCGGGAATTAGAACATTTTGCAAACATTTTGAAACCATAATATATATGTATATCTTTATATAAATATATTTTGCAAAAACAAATTTCAACGTTGAAATCGGTTGCCGACAGTCTTGGTTTCCATCAGAGATAGTGCATCCCCGGTCATTACCTTTGTCCGAAAATGGGGCTGATCCTGTCACTATGATCACCCACTCAGATGAATCCTCGGCATATCAACGATAACCGAATCTGACACCTAGTGCAGTATCATAATCGAGTCTAGGGGTCAGGTGTAACTTTCCAGTTTTTGCCCATCAATCTCCAAGGTTCAGGGCAATTCTGAAAATCTAGTCCGGTTCAGGGTTTCAAGTAAACCCACACTGCATGTACCTTGGGTCTCACCCTGACAGCTGAGACAAGCCACCCCAACCAATTTGGCGACACATCAGTGTCAGCCTTGGCAGGATAAATCTTCCCAGACTTATCCAACGGCTGTGAACATTCTAAACTAACACAAGTCTCATAAGTGTCCAGTTTAAGGGTATTACACAGAAACACACCACAATAACATGAATCAAATATGTATTTTATTCATTTACATTAAATGTCATAAGGTACATCATTCTGATGGGAGCTAAGGGCATACACTGTCTAACAATTAGAAATTTAAAGCTCACTATATGACTTTTTGAGCAAATGTCAAACTTAAGGTGAATTTTGAGAAGAGTTGTATAGTTGGGGTAAATATGGGCAAGGGGGAGATCTCTGAGGCTGCAAACATCTTAGAATGTGCAATAGAAAACTGGCCCCTTAATTACCTTGGTTTTCCATTGGGGGATAACCCTCAGAAAGGTGAGTTTTGGGTTCCAGTTGTGGAGAGGTTTGAAAAGAAATTAGCAACTTGGAAGAAAAACTATTTGTCTCTTGGAGGGAGAACCATTCTAATCAGGTCTGCTTTAGTTAACCTTCCTGTTTACTTTTTGTCAATCTTCAAGATTCCGACAAAGGTGGCTAGTAGATTAGAAAAACTAATGAGGGACTTTCTCTGAGAGCCGGGGGAGGAGAAGAAGGACCATAGGGTGCGGTGGGGGATGGTTTGTAGGAGTAAGAGGGAGGGAGGTTTGGGTATCAAGAATTTAAGGAATAGGAACTTGACTCTTTTGGGGAAATGGCTTTGGAGGTTCTCATTAGAGAAGGACAAACTTTGGGTGAAGATAGTGGAAAGTATTCATGGGGTTGCAACAAATGGATGGGACTTTGGGATTCTAGCAAGGAGTACAAGAGCATCTCCTTGGATAGCTATTCAAGCTATTCTACCTTTATTCTCTCCATGGATCAGGTATGACTTGCACTCAGGCAATCTCATTAATTTTTGGGAACATGTTTGGATTGGGGGCTCCTCCCTAAAAGACCAATTCCAAAGCTTTTTTGCCCTTTCCACTTTTAAAAATGAACCGATGTCTTCATTCATTGTTCCTTCTAATTCTATTTCTAGGGTCGGCTAGAACTTGGGCCTACAGAGAGATATTAGGGACACAGAGCTTGATGGTATCTCATCACTGTTATCCATTCTTGAAGGAGTGTTCCTAGAGCCAACAAAGACAGATAGTAGAATTTGGACTCTCACCCCCTCTGGTTCTTTCACATGTGCCTCTTTCTTTAGTGCTCTCACACATTCTTCTTCTCTGGGCTTGTCTTTCCCTGTTAAAGAGATGTGGTGTCATCCTATACCTCCTAAGGTTGGGAGTTTCTATTGGGAAGCCTTTCTGGAAAGAGTTAACACAGCAGATTTACTTCAAAGAAAAAGACCCAATAGTTGTTTTTGTCCTCACTGGTGTGTCCTCTGTAAAGCTGATGGTGAATCTGGATATCACTTACTAATCTCCTGTCGATTCACTAACATCATTTGGGAGTGGTGTACTTCTTTGTTTGGGTGCAGGTGGACCCCCCCTTCGAATGTGCAAAGCCTATTCACATGTATGCCGTTTCGGCCAACAAAAAGGGCCAAGTTTATGTGGAGGTGTATGAGGGCTAAAGTCTGTTGGACTATTTGGAAGGAGAGAAATTCACGAATATTTACAGATAATGAGAGAAGTTTGGAAGCAATGCTAGAGGTCATCCACATTAGGGTTATACACTAGCTGAAAACCTTGGCTCTGTTTGTAGAATTCTCAATTGATGAGCTGCAAAGAAAGTGGAAGGAGATAATAGAACTTGTTCCAATGAGGAAGGCCTCAAATGTTTGTTGGATCCCCCCACCGCATGACTTTGTTAAACTGAACTTTGATGGCAGCAGCTTGGGCAATCCAGGGCCATCCAGAATAGGAGGAGTAATAAGAGATGAACAAGGGAAGCTGTTAGCTATGTATTTTGGACCAATTGAGGTGGGAGATTCTTTGAGGGCTGAGATTCTTGCAGCTCTTGAAGGGGTACAAAGAATCAAAGATATGCATATTAACAAGTTGATCATAGAAGGAGATTCTGAAGTAGTGGTAAACTGGCTGAAAGAGGATAGTCTTAGACTTTGGAATTACAACAATGAAAAGAGGAAATTCAAGTGGCTGACTAAGGACATGGAAATCCAATACAAATGGGTAAAAAGAAGTGCGAACTCTTTGGCAGATGGTCTAGCTAGACAAGGGGTGAACAGACATTCTATTGTTTGGGCTGTCTTGTAATTTTTGTTCTTTTGATGCTTAATGGTTGTTCTTGGGAGCTAAGATTGTTTAGCCCCCTTGCCCTGTAATTTTCTCATATTTTTAATATTAATTCAATCCACAGTTATTGATAAAAAAAAAGAATATCAAGGATTTTATATATGGTTTCATAGTTATATAAATATGTAGTTTCAAATTTCTCAAAAAGAAAAAGAGGAGGCAAAGGACTAATGCCAATCATGGGATTTGATTCACTTCTATGTTATTCATGAATACAGACCAATAATGCATAAAATCTACATATAGCTAAAGCTGAAAGAATTAAGTACTTTCAGAGATGAAAATGATAATTCACATGGAGATGGATGAGATTGAGCATAGTGTTCCCATATGCTTGTTGGGTGTATCATTAGTAGGTGGTTGCAGAGCAGATAAAATATCTGTGTTTTCCAGAGGTTATATATGAGGCATCACCCAATTAACTGCCCCTCTCAGCAAATAAATAAATAAATAATATGGCATTCCTACATGATATTAATATAAACGTGCCTAATTTTCATGCCAGTTCAATTAAGATGATTACAGATATGGATTAGCTCCAGCAGAATTCATGGCCGAGGGCACTCAACTGGAGCAAAGAAGCAAGTATAGCAAGAATGATATACATAACCCTTGGATTGAGATTGTATAGTTCATGTTTCAGTGATAGTATGAGAAGATACTTAATTGTTGATTTAATATAGGGAAATAACTCAAAAGCTTGGTAGCAGTATCATATGGAATCAAATTATTGAAAGTGACAAAACTAAACAGAATTGAAAAAAACGAGTAAGTCCATTGTCTGCAACTGAGAAGTTTAAGGAGCCAATTCTTTTACAGTTTTACTGGTCCATCAACATGAAACCATATTTCTGCATGACATTGAAGTCCTTCATGTGATAGTATGACTCTATGACAATATGTAACCATTGCCACTTAATTTAAGGAACATGTCCTGTGAGATTTGGAACATGGTATTTAACCACTCAACTCATCTAATCCTTATTCCCAACTATCTTAGATCAGCTACAAAAACCCTTCCCGTCATTGGCCTACTTCAACAGATCCACAAAAGACAAAAAGAAAAAGAATATCTCAAAAACAAATTTCTCCAACACAAAAGAGAGAATTGAAAAAATAAAGAAATAAGAAAAGAAAACATTTAATTGCTTTCTAGTATCCTTAATAATTCAACTGTGAGTTCAAGGATTGCATATATATGTAAGGGTATCTTTATTATCTATCTGCAATGTATCTATATATGTGGTTTATGTGCACTAGTAAACATAAACAAAAAGGACAGGATAGAACAAGTAAGCAAAGAATCATACATGCAAAGCTCTAAGTAAGAGAGGCCTCTCCTCTAAAATTTCTTTGAAAAGTCTCTTCGCCCTGCTCAGGTGTCCCATCATCTCATAAGAGAGAGCCTGTAGAAGTCTCCACTCTACCTCATCAGGTTCAATATCAATCAATCTCTCCACATGCTCCAAAGCCTCCTTTGTTTTTCCTTTCCTCATTTTTCCATACAGAACCACTTTCAGTGCTTGTACATCTCTTGGGTTCTTCTCCAATAACTTCAAATACATAGCCTCATTCTCACCTTTATCATCTCGGGCATCTGTTTTTTCCTCCACAGACGCAGAATAACCGGCTTTCTGGGTGGTCGGAAATGCTATAGCCGGTCCTATGTTGAAACTCCCCATGAGAATGAGAGACCCAACAAGAAAACCAGCTACCTTTTTCACGCAGACCTTCAAAATATTGTTCTGGGAAGCGAAAGAACGATGCATGCTGGAATTATTCGGACTGGGTAGTTGAAGAACCGATGAACAAGGGCAGTATGAAAGGATTTGAAGCTCACCCACCTTGAGTGTGTTCGTGGGTCGAAATTTGGGATGGAAAGAGAGTGAATTCTGCATTGTGGTTGGATTGATTGAGAGGTTTCCTTTGGATCCATGAAACAATTCACGAATTGCGAATCGGGGATTCTGGTATGGTGTTTGAAATCCAAGTGACGGACTACCCATCGATAGGCAACCCATTCGCAATAGCGGGATTGCGGGAGTAGAGAGCAAAAACAAAGCGGGCAAGCAGCATCAAACAAAGATCAAAGAATCGGGAATAGGGAGCGTCTTCTGGGTATGGAGGACCCAATGACCCATATTCGGGTTGGAGGGTCAAAGTTTGCCACCTGTGCATGAACATGATTCGCGGTTTGCCACCTGCGCTAAAACTAGGCGACTAATGCGAGCCACGTGTGTCAATTGACCAGATATGATACAATCCGATCCGGTCCGCTATGAATCCATTGCAGATAGATCATGTCCAATCCATTGCAGATAGATCCGGTCCGGTATGGGCCAGTCCAATTCAATTTCAGGACGCCCCTATATTAACCCCAAAACCCGCCTTCCAAAGCACAGCTAGACCATCCGCCCTTCAGAATTATGATCTTCGGAAAGTTTGTAATGAAGTTTGTATATATGCTGACGCTAAACAAGTGGTTCAAGCTATTTATCAAAAAACAAATCTTCGTTGGTCCTGCCACCGGCTTTTGTAGAGGATAGAGGTGTAAATCGGGTCAGGCCGCCTGTGGCCCTGTATGACCTGGCCTGGTCCGACACAATAACCCACAAGCCATGCCTGGCATAATAGTCCGTGCCGTGTTGGGCCGGGGGTTTGAGGTCTATGGGCCGGTACGACACAGCCCGTAGGACCTATAACGGGCCGAACATGGCCCGTTCGAAAATTAGTCGTTGCCTCCACCCCCCACAACGGCTAGTTTTAGCTTTTTACAGGGTATTTTATAGAAATACCTCCCAATAGCTATAAACAACCATATTAGGGGTGTATTTATGTATTTTGCTTATGGGACAGAAAAAATGACATAAATGCCCCCCCAACAGYTATATAACAACTAGTTTAAGGGGCTTTTTGGGTAAGGTTATAAATAACTTTACAATGACCAAAATACCCTTCYAATAACTAAATAACAACTAATTTTTAGGATATTTTAGACAATTAAATTATGTTCAATTCCTATAAATAGCCCTATCCTCCACAAATCTCATCATG